ATATAATTTGTTTCATTATTATCCATATCTGAGGGGAAAAAATAACTTCGCAAAGGCTAATAAATTTTCTGAAATAAAAACAAACCCTTTTCCATAACATAAGACAGTGATTGCATGAAAGCGCAGGTTTGTAGAGAATGACAATCGTGTAACAACAGAGATGTTTTATTAGTGTTTAACAACCATGAAAGTGACACAAAACACAGGTAATTATTTACAAACTTGTGAACTTAAACTACAGGAGGAGAACCCCAGCCTGGGGCCAGATTCACGAAGCATTTACGAACCTCAACATCTTTCCTCAATCTTTGGCGGCTTTGTTTACAATTATTAAACAGTTGATGAGCTCCGAAGCACCAGAACGCTGTTTATAACAATAACAACAGTTGATTGGGAAGTCTTCATGTTTGTAAACTGTTTAATAAATGTAACCAAAGGCGTCAAAGATTGAGGAAAGATATACACGTTCGTAAGTACTTGCGTAACTACTTCGTGAATATGGCCCCAGATCTGTTTGTCGCGAGAGAATGCAGGACTCGGGTATATAACTTATTTTTATTTCACAGCAAGAGCCAGCTGGCAATGCCGAGGAACTCATCAACGGAGTGACACACGTTCGTCCAGGGAGCAACTTTAAGCCCAACTTTACCTTGTTAAAGAAGATAGAGGTGAACGGGGAGAAGGAACATCCTCTCTACACATATCTCAAGGTGGGGAACTGTACAGTAACAGAGAGCCTTGTGCAACAAGTGTGTAATTAAATTGATGCAGAGTTAAAATTTTATGAATCATTGAGGAATGGAAGCACATGCCGGAATGGATGTTTAATAATGTAAGTCTAATCATAAGTGTGTGTGTGTGTGTGTGGTAAAAAGAGAAGTGGTATTAGCAGTTCGAACGAGCTTTTCTTGTCTCCTCTCGTTCGTTTCAACAGGATACAGTAAGAAATCGATACTGTTGTTTGGGAAGCATGAAATAGTTTTCGCACGAGTCCAGCGAACTCAACATCTTGTTCCTGGATGATGGCACCCTGGCAGGTAAACGGGAATTCCTGGTAGTGCATCTACAGCTGGAGAAATCGAAGGGAGAAGAGTTAGAACTCGCCCTAAATCCTTTACCGTGCAAAATCATATCTTCTAGCCAATCATAGATGCAGCAAGATCCGTTTACTAGGAGCTTCGGTGATCGCCCCCCACCGACAGTGTGCTGCTAGAGGCATCTTTGAATTTCAGTGCCCTTGACGTAATCTTCGAATAAAAACTGAACGACCTGAGGAGGGTGGAAGAAAGAATAGGTGTGCTGGATGCACAAGATGCTTTATACCTCCTCATAAGGTCTCGACATTGCCTAGGCTTGCCTATTTCCTAAGATGCACACCCTCTTTGTTACTCCTCTCCCTGAAAGGTGGTTCCAAGCAACGCTCTCAGTTAGACGCAAGGTAACCCTGATACCTCTCATGCTTCGTGTGTGAAAGTTGGCAGGGGCCAGTCCCCCAAGGGTCTGGCCTGCAACTTTGAACACACGTTCTCTTACATGGATAACAATATTGATATTGAAAGTAGTCTTTCTTGTAGATATTTGTTATTTAATATAACTTAAAGGGTTAGATTAATGATTCTATGACGAATCTTCTATTTCCTATGTTCCTCACTTAGTAAGGAAGTTTAAACATTTTAAAATAAACTTTTGAATTAATGTCACTAGCCGATATTTATCACTACAGGACGTATTTCACTGACGTTCATTTCTGCATCTTCAGAAGCAGAGAGTGGAATACAAGTTAGCTAGTTAGGCATTGTTTATACCATATTGGAATGGGTGAGGTGTTACTGTCATGGAGATTGGGCAATCTTGTTCTGCATTTTCATTGTCATTGTCATCTTAGGTAGTAGGTGTGAAGCGATCTGGCAGTTCTGGCTTGGTCTTAAGGATGATTGGATGTACTTGAATGCGAGTTGGCTGCTTATATTTGATGAATATTTGTTATGTAGTTCCTCAGCTATTTCCAATCTACCGTCGATGAATCTCAAATATTTCGATGTTGTTAATCAGGATATATCTGGTGATGGTCTGGTTAAGTATTGAAATGATGTAGCGTTCGATGTTTGTGCAGTGGTGTCACCTTGAAAGAGATGCTGTCGTCTTGCCTCTGTATTTGAGTCATTGGGGATAACGGTTCCAAAGGCGTAAACACCATTAGTCACATTAAAGATCTATCGTTCCGTCTCGGGAGAGTTCCTAACGAGGAACTTGGAAGACGTCTAACTGTTGTAGTGTATGGTAAGTAGTAACTTCTGTTTGGTGTTGGCAGGGGTCGCGTTACTGTTACCTTAGTATGTGTTCTGGAGGTCTTCTTTCTTCCACACCTCACAATTTAACGTTTTATGTATTTAATTGGAAATGTTAGATTACATGTTACATAATTTACATACATACAAATTACATTAATATTTTATTTGTAAATCACCTATATATAATAACAATGGTAGTAAACTGATAATGGCTCTTCTCTGGAACAGGCATACTGCCCTCCTACTCGAATGCACTTCGCAGAAACAAGCAAGCTCTACTATAGTCCTTTGAAGAACAGCGATGTCCGATGGAACTGGGAAAAGTTTTTGATCAGCAAGAGCGGAAAGCCCTTCATGCGCTACGATCCGAGCACCAAGCCTCAAGACATCAGGAACGACGTCCTCTTTCTTTTGCAACAAGAGTTTTAAGATACCACAGCTACAATAAATCTCAGGCAAGACAGTTATTGCTAAAGACCTCGAGCAGTTACCTCTTAAAAGATGTTGATTTTAATGAATATGTTAATGGAGGGTTTATTCATACCCTGATATCTTCCTGTAGTTGCTAGTTGTCACAACTTAATCCAGTCTGGTGTGATGAAGGCGTCGCCACAAACCTGAAGGTGGGCGACGCTGGAGCGTAGAGGAGCCCCGAGTTCGGTCTTCAGCACATTCAGCTGGACTCTGGGTCGCCTCTCTAAATCAGGCGAGGTATAAGAGTGTGCCTCTTGGCCACATCAGAGAATTAGCCTACTATCATTTCAATAAAAATGTGAGATAGTTGATAAAGTTGTAACTTATTTTATCCTAAACATATGTGATAATTTTTCCTGAAGCTTATTAATGGCATGTTTTAAATATTCTAGATATAAATTGAATCAACTAAGATGAGAAAATCAGTTGGAGAAATGCAGCAATTTGAAGCACTGTGCTAGTAGTGAATACCAAATACTTGTCTTATCCCACTTGGCATAATAGGATAAAAGCTATTCACCCCTGACCTCCCATGACTCCACTAGGATTAGGGAGTATGGAGGCCCCAGCTGGTGCCACGACCAGGTTTTAAAAATAACCCGCCTACACTCTGGTGTGTGGGTAATAGAATTCTTTACCAAACTCCCACTTTCAGAACACAAATCGCAATGGCGTGATATATCAATGAGAAAATTGGTTGGATCCATGCGTGGATTTGAACTAATGTTCTAGAGAATACCAGATGCTTGTCTTAACTTGGTTATTATCCAGCATAATAAAGCTAAAGTTGCATGTAACAAATCTAAAATATAATTATCTAGATTTATATTGTCAAAACCACACTACTACAAGGTACAACTGACAGAGCAACAATAGAGGCAGAAAGTTAGCTGGTTTAGTAGGAACTAGTAATACTAGTTCTAAACATAACTAGTATTTAGTTATGTTTAGAACTGTACATGCGGACAGAACAAAATGTCCATCAGACTACCTGCCTCTAATGCTTGGAATTAGGCTGGGATATCACTACTTAAATCGGGTAATGAATTTCCCAACAATGACTGCACTAATTATAAACTGGGTAAAATGAGTTATATTAGTGAATGCCCAGTTATCGATCATTTTAGAGAAGCGATAATTACAAGATACTTCGCGCTACAACTACATGGCCTAATTATCAAATATTCTCGAGTAATATTAAATCACCGTTCAAGGAATGTTGCCAACGTTGATGTAATGTTAAATCGTAAGGAAATGATATATATATTTTATATGGCCACATTTAAATCATTTTAGAGCTCGATTTTAATTTGATAGTTAACATATCTGTATTGTGTGTTTGTCTTTTATCAGTCATTAGTGTGGCTTAGAGTATCAACAGAAACGCTGGACAAATGTACGGTAGATTAATTAACTTTTACAGTAGAGTACAAACAACAAAGAAAAATAATTCGGTTTCTGCGCGTGTAATTCAAAAATTCCCGAGTACAGGGACCAGATTCACGAAACAGTTGCGCAAGCACTTATGAACTTGTACAGCTTTTCTAAATTTTTGGCGGCTTTGTTTACAATTATTAAACAGTTAATGAGCTCCGAAGCACCAGGAGGCTGTTTATAACAATAACAACAGTTGATTGGGAAGTTTTCATGCTTGTAAACTGTTTAATAAATATAACCAAAGCCGTCAAAGATTGAGGAAAGATGTACACGTTCGTAAGTATTTGCGTAACTACTTCGTGAATCTGGCACCAGGAAGCCTGCACAGTACACGGGCTTCTCGAAGTCTTCCTAGGCAAACATCCTACTAACCTTGGCCAAAATGCATATTCCTTGGCAAGGGAACGTACCCAACCGTTTGTACCACACGGGGATCGAATACGGGTCCGTCGGTTGTGACCCGAGGCCCTAGGCTATTGCGCTACCGAACCCACAAAATGTGACCAATGACTTTGTGGTCGTGTCGCCAATACGCACACATTAGGCCTATTATCCAATAACTTGTCTGTTAGCGTCGAGCTTTATAGTCCCATAAATGTGGTTTAAAGTCGACATAATCCTGCATAATCCTATCTTAGCCTACAAATCTTATTAGAGTTAAATATATAAACTTCAACAATAGCCAACAAATTCTCAAAGTTGTATTTGCAAATATAATAAATGTATATGCTTATTTCCTTAATAAAACACACAAAAAGTCAAGATTACAAGTCAGAAGTTAAACTTGTTATTAAGCTTCAAGGTTCTGACACGTAACAAGCACTTTGTTGTTGCCAGGGCCACCCCCAGACCCAGTAGTTGCCATGAGGCATCTTAGGCTACTGGTGTCTGTCAAGACTCAGTCTCCTCGGAACCCTGGGAGGGGAAGGATACGTCTTAACTCACGTCTTCAAGGTATTTAATACTAATAATTTTTACATTTATACTTGGACATAATGTCAATTTATCCTCCGGGAAATTGTAGTACTAATAGAGGGTTTGTGGATGTTTTGTGCAAATAATAGACTGTTGCAGCCTAATAGTTTAAATTTTGTATTATTGAATTTTAGAGGGGCCGAGAAAGACGGCAACAACGAAGCCTATACCTTTCTTAGGATTACTGCAGTGCATGTGTGCTAAATTAGGCATACATTTGTGTATAATAGGTCTAGAATTGTTATTTAGGTCAAGGGCAGGTTGGATTGTTGAAGTTTTTGGGATGTTCTTTAGTATACCAATAGTACCAAACGTGGGCATTTTTGGGTACAACAACCCATATTTTGTACATTACATCCACAATCACTATGGGTACTATAATTTTGGGAGGATATGTTGACGTATCCAAACGGATAAAATTAATAAAATAAGTAACAAGATAGTAAGTATGACCATTAGCAGGGCATACAAGTCTGTATTTAGTTATGAGGACGGTTAAATAATTATGTAGGCCTGCTGTAATTTGTTGACCATGTATTAATCTGAAAATTTGTGGTTAGTCATTTCACGTTAGTCTTCAAAAATATAATTCGTTTAATTAGAGAGTTTATATTGAGTACGTTTTTTAAGGGGAGACATTTTTTCCGACAATTCCCCACTCTTAGCAAAGTCATAAATAATTTAATATTTTTTTTAGACTTGATATACCTCGGGAGTCTCTAGCATACTCTTCACATATTAACGAATGACAGGAACATTATGATAGACCTAATGGCCAATGCGAGAGAGAGGTCCTCCTTACACCCATTGTTTCACATCTGTGGGGTCTCGTGTATTTATAAAGCTTATCGAGGAATCGAACTCGCTTCCTCAGAGAAAACTAGAACGTCTTTTGTCGTTCTGTCGTAAGAGAAGTTATCTTTAGCCTGGCAAACATGCAGACTACGTCACAATGCAGTTTGTTGCTTAACAGACCATGGCTTTTGTTCTTATGTTTGACTGTGATCATATTAACAATCGATACCAGGTTGGTGGTTTGGTTATAGCCTCCAATACGCATCCAGATCTCCACTAGTTGTATGCTTCTTAAGAAACAGTAACTCCAGTACCCTTACAGTGTCTTTGTAAGAAAGGTTGCTGATGCAAAATATTTACTTCACCATCCATTGTTCATTGTTAAAGAAAATATATACAGTATTCATTTTGCATTACGGTAACACAAGCTGGCACTTGTGCAGTGTAAATGTGTAGGATGATATAATGACGTGACTGCATAGTCAACATTCTCGTTTCGCAGTCGATGGAGACGGGTTCAATCCCCGGGCAAAACAGTAACGCTTGGGCACGTTTCCTTTCACCTGATGCGGCTGTTCACCTAGCAGTGAAATAGTTACCCGGAAGTTAGGCAACTGTTGAAAGTTGGTATGAGTGGACCTGGATAAGCCTAAGTACAGGCTTGAGAAAACAAAAGGAAAACTCCGAGGTTAGGAAACAAATATTTCGTCTGGACGAAAATAGTTGTTTCACTGGCGCGTTCCATTGGCTGCTGGCGATGTCGGCGACTTTAATAAGGCTTAATTGAAATCCTCAGATTAGGCAAAATTGTAATTGATTTTGTCAATAATGTTAATAATAAGTGACCGTGGGGTGGGAGGGTAAGTGTTTTTTGTATTATTATTTTGTTTTCTACCACAGACGTGGCCACGCATTTACAATGCTAACCAGCATATATACATTTTCTTCTGTCTTCCATGGACAGGGTTGGAGATCTGTTAAACATATAGTTCAGCGAGTTATTGAGCAATCAAACACAGAAGGTGATTGTAATGCTTATAAAATGCTTATCTAACCTACATACATAAATACACAGATTAACGTCTGCCCTGTATAAATAGCATTCGATGTGTCTTTTTACATAATGTCATTAATGTGCGTTTTCAAAGATGAAATGCAATTCTGGCCAGCTTCCATATATCCTGTATACACATACATGCACACACACACACACACACATATATATATATATATATATATATATATATATATATATATATATATATATATATATATATATATATATATATATATATATAATATGCGAACAAGCCTGAATGGACCCCAGGACAATATGCAACTGAAATCACTTCTGGATCACTTCTGGGGTGTGAGTTTTCAGTTACATATATATATATATATATATATATATATATATATATATATATATATATATATATATATATATATATATATATATATATATATATATATATGAGGATCCACAAGGTCTTCTCCGATTACTCTTTATTTTCTTTCCAGGCTATGGGTCCCTACACTTGCACCAGAGGTGGTACCCCTTCTAGGTTTAATTATATACATATATACACATACACATTTGTGTCTTGGGGTGAGAAGGGTGACCGTGGGGAGAGGGTGGTAAGTGTTAAGCTCTTGGCCACACACTAGCAAACCAGTTACTTGTTACGTTTACTGTTGTTGTTGTTGTTAAGATTCAGCTACTCTGAACAAAATGTTCCAAGTAGCACGGGCACGGGTTTTCACATTCTTATGAAGAGTTTTTCCTTGTGTATTCTGCACTGTATCACATCGGAAAGTTTTATTTGCATATAATAAATACAACGATACTCCTAAATTTAGTTTTAATTTGGGTTTAGTATGTTGTGGAAGCCACCTCCATCCACAACTTTAAAGCTAGATTCGACAAGGAATTCAAATATTAGGATAATTCAATTATAACTCGATAGATTCAAAAAGACTAGAAGGCGGGGCACAGAGCTAGACCTCACTTCCCTGTAGACACAAATAGGCAAGTACCAAATAACTTGGGATCTCTCAAGAAGGCTTGACCGAGAGGTCACGACGTCTCCGTAGGGTGCAGTCGCACCTCCACAGATCTCTAGTATCAGCTAGTGATACAGGTAATGGCTCCAAAGGGCCACCACTTACGGGCTATTCATGCCCGTGCCACCTTTTGGGTGGCTTAATCTTCATCAATCAATCGTCGTCATCGAAGGCTTGAGTATAATGAGCTTGGCAATGTTCCTCTCATCACTTTTTAAAATATAAAGGGACCGCGGATAAACCTACTTGTGCAGACGGTAAATCATAATTACGGGACTGAAAATTGTACACCCAACCCACTCACCTGAAAAGAAAGGAAATGACGTTTTGGTCCGTCGTGGACCATTTACAAGTTTTCAGATATGTGGGTTGGGGTTGACCAGACCACACACTAGAAGGTGAAGGGACGACGACGTTTTGGTCCGTCCTGGACCATTCTCAAGCCAATCGACTTGAGAATGGTCCAGGACGGACCGAAACGCCGTCGTCCCTTCACCTTCTAGTGTGTGGTCTGGTCAACATACTTTAGCCACGTTGTGACTCATCGCCTGCATGTGGGTTGGGTTTCTTATTGATGTATTTTCTATTGTGTTTTTGTTTCAGAATGTTGTGGGCGGGGCTGGTGAGTCTGGCGGCCGTGGGCGTGGTGGCTCAGGACCAGGTGGCGTCCAGGGCCTGCTTCCACCACCACTCTGACGGAGGGAACATCTACGACTTCGAGGAAATGGATCTCTTAGAGACCAGGAACATCTCTCTTGCTGACTTCCGCGGCAAGGTAACCAACTTCACCTGATTCGTTGAATAAGCCGGAAAACTCAATCATTTAATATAATCTTCGTGACTCTTGCATAAGAGTATGCAGTTTAAATGAACAAATCCACAAGGGCCTTCATGAGGGTTCGAGCTTACGCACGGGATGTTTCCAGACGTGCATTACATTACCCGGTCGGTCGAGCGGACAGCACCCTGGACTTGTGATCCTGTGGTCCCGGGTTCAATCCCGGGCGCCGGCGAGAAACAATGGGCAGAGTTTCTTTCACCCTATGCCCCTGTTACCTAGCAGTAAAATAGGGACCTGGGTGTTAGTCAGCTGTCACGGGCTGCTTCCTGGGGTGAAGGCCTGGTCGAGGACCGGGCCGCGGGGACACTAAAGCCCCGAAATCATCTCGAGATAACCTCAAGATCTCAAGATAACGGGCGCATTTGATATATCATGCTATTGGTATTTTTGTGAGTATGCAGTTTGTCTTCGTTGATTACTGCAGTAAGGAGAGTCCCCAAACGTGACTGTCATGAATGTGAGCCATTTCAAGATGTCATTACTGGCTACCGATGCTAGGCGAGTTACTGGATATGATATAACTTGCCTCTACCCTTGTTGCAACATGTTCCCATCATCAATGTCCATTAGTTCACTGCTGTATGAATGTCTCGCTTAATGTTTGTGTTATTTGTGAACTCTAATCCATTCCTGGGCATTGATTTCAACATGATCTCCCTTATATTTTCATTTTTGTTTTGTTTTAATATTTGGGATGTTTGAGTTATCTTTGTATAACATTAATATAGTCTTTTAATTTGCCCACTGTCTTATACAGTCTTGTATCCCTTACAAGAGGGTCTTCAAATCTCTATGAATACCCGATAAGGCTGATCCCAGAGCTGAAAGTACTACAGCGAAAGCCTGCGCGAGCGCACACTCGCCAAGTTGAAAGACAAACAGGAAAGAAATAACAATAACGTACAAAATATCAAATAGCATTGGCAAGGTGTACACAGAAGCAATGGTCAAGCAATATGCAGCTCCATCGTAGAATCCATATTTCGTTAAATACAAAACAAAGTCCTAGTCTAATCCTAGAGCTTGAGAGTAATGGATAGAGGTGAGGAATATAACAATATCTACCTTATTTACTTATTCAATTTTCAAGCTATAGTGTACTGATGTTAAGAGAGGAGGCGGTAGTGTTTGACACCTGTGCTCCAGAAAATGAGTACAATGTGTTATGTACCGCAAATGAGCAGGCGAGGAGTCGGTCAACTTGAGAATGGTCCAGACCGGACCGAAACGTCGTCGTCCCTTCATTTTCTAGTGTGTGGATTGGTCAACATGCCACAAATGATCTATTCTTACGTGTCATTCTCTTGTTTACATGCTTTTAGGAACCTGTGTTTTACAGAGATGAGCGAAGGAAACCGGCGTGTAAACTTGCGCTCCATCATTAATGTTGTGACACTGCGCATTGCCGCTTGAGATCACTTTGATCACCACATCCCTGTCTTGTATTGATTGTTCACATTGACGTACTATTCATGTTCCCCCGCGTGTGTGTTCCTCATGCTGACGCCACTATAAGCTTGAAGGAAAATATCTCGACAGTCTGTTTAACGTAGATATAAATTCCCCATTGTTTTAATGCATTAACAATCAAATTTCAGATTAAATAAAAGACTAAAATCAAGCTGTCCTTCCTTTGAGGCAATTTTGCAGCGAGATGCTGCACAATCTAGGAAACCACCGGCGCACAAAAATGATATAACGATGTGTTCACAGGTGCTGATGATCGTCAACGTGGCCACCTACTGAAGCGTAACGCATCAGTATTTAAAGATGAATGAGCTTCATGACTCTTACAGCGATTTTGAAGTCCTGGCTTTCCCTTGTAACCAGTTCGGACAGGTAAGTACGGCACTAGTTCGAGGAACGCTGCTCAGTAATCAGTACAAATGTTTCTGTAATAGTTTTCCCAAATTTGTGAGTATGTAGGCACTTCGCAACCTGCAAAGCATTCGCTAATACTAGGGAACTAGCTGTTGTTATAGTGATATATAGAAAACATTATATAATCTCCAAATTTGCAGAGGGAATGGTCTGAGGGTACGGAATGGACATAGGCTGGTAGGAGGGTAGGCCCAAGTTAAATGCTTTAAAAAATATTAATAATTATTGATACCCCTCATGTAATTTCCATTCAGCCAAATGTGAAATATTTGGTGTGATTCTCCTAGAATTTATTAATCTTAATATATTTCCCGGGAGACTCGTCAATTGTTGCAGTGCTTCTTAATAATACATTCTTTGAGAGAAGGGGAAAAGGAGTATGGACAAGGGGAAAATGAAGGGGGAGAGGGGAAAGAGGTGGGAGGACGAAGGGGTCAGGGGGAAGATGGAGTGGGGGGGGGAGGGGAAGAGGGAGGGAAGACACCCGAGTACAGCAGGGCACTCTTATGTATACATTGTATATAAATGGAAATGTCCCTCTGTTCGAGATACGGGCTCACCATAACCCGTGCTACATGGACACTTCGTTCTGAGTAGCTAAATCTAAAACAACTACTACTGTTCGAGATTGGAGGCGAGAGAGGGAGGGTAGTTCCAGCCCCACTCTGCCTCTCAGCCACTCTTTGCCTCTCGCCTTTTCCCTTGTCCCCTAACTTCTTCTACTGCACAACCACTCATCACAGCACTGCACACACTCGCTCACAACCTACATTAATAGAAACGAATAGACAGGAATGCTCTATGGATTTTGAGAACAGCGTGTCCAAGAAGATTAATGAATATTTCAGAAATAATTTTTCAAATTGTTTAGTTATAAGAAACATGTTAATATTTAACTTATAAATGAAAAAATCGCATTTGTGACCACAGTTGGAAAGAACAAACTTGAATTATTAGTTTTTTAACATTATCGTCTCGTGTAATATTATGTAATAACCTTAAAACCGGTGTCGTTCTTCCTTGACATGTATTTCATTCAACCTCCTGCATTCCCCACTTGTTTTTATTTTATGGATAACAGAAAATATGTGTTGTGTCCGACAGCAAGAGCCGGGAGGCAGTGGCAGCGAGATCCTCAACGGTATCCTACACGTGCGTCCAGGCAACGGCTTCAAGCCTAATTTCACCATATTTAGAAAGATTGAAGTCAATGGAAATAATCAACATCCGCTTTATAAATACCTTAAGGTAAGAATATAACCCTAATAAAGAACCTAAAAATAACACAGAAATCACAATTGCGTGATGCATCAAATGAACAAATCCAAAAGGGCCGTGACGATGATTCGAATCTGCGTCCGGGAGTATCCCAGACGCTGCCTTAATCGACTGTGCTACGACATGATCAAAAGGAGTTGAAACCGAAGTTCTACTGAGCTTGGTGGATCCTGCAGCCTCTGAGGCACAAACCAGGGTTTTACACAACTCTCCCCATGCACTCGAGTTATGTCAATAGGCCGTTCTCCCTCTTCGCCCTTACTTCATTACACACAGAAATCATCGTCACGGCCCTTGTGGATTTGTTCAACCTAAAAATAAGTTCGATAGGTACACGAAGAAGAGTAAATAAGTACAAAAAGAATGCAGTAACCTGGAAGATCAGTATATTACATTAATTCAGTCCAGAATTGGACAATAGACTCCTAGTGATTTTTACCATATTTAGGTACATTTTTATTTATCCAGTTACCCTAGATTATATGAAGGATTACATATTGTGTGTCTGAAGCCTGTGATCAAATGTTGAGACATCACCATCTCACCGGATCTTCGGTGAAACAGAGGCATGTGATGGTTGCAAGGATTATATCGACAAGTGCTCCTATGGTAAAGTTTAATTCTGGTGATTTTTACCCCAACAGTCCTTCTGTCCTGCCACTCGCCAGAGCTTCATGCCCGTAGACAAGCTGGACTACTCTCCTCTCAAGCCGGACGACATCCGATGGAATTGGGAGAAGTTCCTAATCACTAAAAACGGAAAGCCTTACATGCGCTATGACGCCCAAACCGACCCAGGAGAAATTCAGAATGACATAGTATTCCTGTTGCAGCAGGAGTCCTAAATACACACTACGAGCTGTACAATTTAAGTTTTGCCTTTAGATTAAATATCGGTGCCGCCTTGCATTTTAATATACAAGTCGATTAATTTACATGCATAACAAATTGCTCCATTTACCCAAGTGTCTTTCCTAACAAAATGGCGACTGCGTCTCTGACCCCAACCTGATGTGATGAAGGCGTCGCCACAAACCTGAGGGTGGGCGACGCTGGAGAGATGAGGAGCCTAAGCCCAGTCTTCAGCTCATTCAGCTGGACTTAGGTTACTTCTGTAGGTCAAGCTAGGTTCAAAATAGTGGTCGCTGGATATTACAAGACTCTGATTTTAAATAAAATTGTAAATAATCATTGTTTCATGTTTTATTTCATCATTCGGTCTTTCTTTGTGACCTTAAAATTCACAAGCTACATATGAATGATAAACATGGTGTAGACTGCCTTTTTAATTAAATTAAGTTTGATGGCTGATAGACACAATTACACCTTATGTCGGTGAATTGATATAGTCACTAGGTTGATCTGATAGACAAGGTTCAGAGTTCTTTCAAAACAACACCTGCCCTTTGGTGCTTATGAATGTGAAGTCTGCAGTATTGTCATTATAACGTTTAGCGTAAAATAACATATTATATAAATATATATATATTATATAAAGCAGAGAAACTTATAAAACTTGGCTGAAACAAATAGCTAAACCCACATATATATCGTGCTTTACTTCACCACTTTCCCTAACCTTCCCTCTTGTCGTATATTGACTCTCCCACTCAAACATTTTATGATTTCATAAGGTTGACCGAAACGTCGTCACTTTTATTCCATTTCATGTCTGGATTGGATTAACTTCTGTTATCGTGAAAAACGGTTAATTCCATAAATCACGTCACATTTATATAGCAATTGAACTTTGGCACTATAATTAGACATATATGTGAGTGTGAGGCAGCCCATCCTGTTTTGGTAGTACTTACAGTAACGATTAGGACCATCGTGCATATATTGACGTAAAAGGCAACTAGAAAGTGGAAATCAGTACTGTTGAATTTGGACAAACTGCAAAAGTTTTTGCAATTATGTTACAAAGACAACCTAAATTAAAAAAACCTAATTTTCCTAGGCCTAATACACGCCATTTGAAGCCTAATATAGTAAATGTTTATGCTATACTAGGCCTCGGAATATTTAAATTTTTCTTTTACTTTATTTTATGTTGATGTGATGACTTATACTGAATTTTGTAACTAGCTCATCAAGATTGTAACTTGCTTAGCTAAATGAATTGTGGGGTTCAGTCCCTGAGCCCATTATGTGCCTCTGTAACCCTTTCCACTACCGCCCATAAGATGGGTATGGGGTGCATAATAAATGAACTAAACTAAACTTAATTTTTTTGAACTATAAAGTGACTATTAATTTGATAGTAGTACCAAATTCTACTATCTAATTCCCTTTTACGTCAATATATGTACTGTGATCTACATATTTACAAAAATCACTATCTAAACAGGAGGATGGTTTGTATGAGGACCCATCGCCGGTCTGCACCTGAGTGATATAACAATGCCTCAGTGCTCGCCTGAGCTCTGGACAGGTTGGACGTTCGCGTCCCTTCTCCCAGGTATAGTCTTTGCCTATTGTCATGTATGTACATTTGTTAATGAAAGCCGACTTGTGCAGCGTTCACACCGTTGCACGTATTGCAAACAAAAAAAGATTAAGACAAATGAAACTCATTTGGTTTGCATTAAGTGGAAGGTATTTATCCACTATGTAAAGGTAACGGGGTTGGAAGAAACAGTAAAACCGCCTATTGGCATCTTTAGTGCTTATAAATGCAAGTTAATATAACAAAAGTTCATGTAATTTTTTGTACTGTAATTCGAAAATTGAAAAGTAACATTTTTAAGAAAACTGATAGACCACGTGTCGAAATATCAGTCAATTGTGGAGGAAAATTACTGGAGTCGATAATTAGTTATTCGCATACATCTTGAAAAACATGAATTAATTAATGGATCTCATATTTAAGAGCCGCTATTGTTTGACAAATTTACTCTTCTCCGAAATATTTGGTGGTTAATAGGGCGAAGGATTGTAAAACCTGATGGCACAAGTGCTATATAGTCGTGATGGCTTGGCACTTTACCCCTGATAGTTCCCTTCCCTTCCTCGTGGGAATGGTTGTATATGCCGTTTCTTATCTGTTTTCTTAGAATGTTGTGGATGGGTTTGGTGAGTCTGGCGGCCGTGGGCATGGCGGCCGAGGAGCGGGTGGCATCGAGGGCCTGCTTTCACCACCCGTCTGACGGAGGAAACATCTACGACTTCTCAGAGCTCGATCTCTTCGAGGCTAAGAATATCTCATTTGCAGACTATCGTGACAAGGTAAGTCACTCGACGTGAGGTGGAAAACACCCACGCTTATCTTTACATTTCTCTTCAATCAGTTTACGACAAACACCATACAAGCCAGACGCGCCCTATGCAGCCCACCCATTACGTAACCTAGCAACCCATATTCACAGCTTCCCCAGTCTACCGTATTGCAGACTTCACTAAACACATCACGGGAATAGAAAAAGCTATAGAATGAGTACTAAAATAATTCATTGGCCAACACATCTTACTCTGAACATGTGCAATCTATGCTCACAACATAATCTATGCTCACAGCAATAATTTGCATTATGTCTGAAACATACAACTTTCCCAACAATTAGTCGACTTAAGCCAACTACCCACAAACAAGTCTTAAGACACATGTCAATTATAAACAACCTGCTCAATATACAGAATAAAGGATTTAAAATATCTTTTGTATGGATTCCGTCGTGTATACAAATTGCTTATGAGACAGATACATCAGGCAAATTACTTTGCTACAAAAGATGTTGAACTAAACCTTAGTATCACGGGGATCTTTTAGCATCACGTAGCTAGTTCTTGATACATTATGTACTCCTTCATATAGTCTAGTGTAGCTGCACAAATACAAAATTACCTAAATGTGTTTATGAAAATAATCACCATTACTCATTCCCCTCATCCTTCGTGAAGACCTTGATTGTGACGTCGCCTTTACTCGCCAATGGTCATGTGTCAAGGAGTCGTACACAAATAGTGTGTCAGGGTTGCAGGATCATGCGTCTCATGTTTATATTTCTTCGAAAACAAATTTCATGGGAAGGGAAACAATGTTGCACATGTAATATTATGGAGGCTTGCAAATCACAGCTAATATTAATTTTATTTTTTATTGATTTTTGGGTCCCTCTCCCAGGGAATTAAGGCCATAAATTTGGAACCAATTACTCGGAAAAATGGTAAAATCAATGCGAGACTTCATAATTACATTGTGGTTATGATTGGTAATGGGCTTATAGCTTATCAACCACTGGCAAATTAAGGGGACCACAAGCTTGCATACTAACCAGCAAGCAAGTAAATTTTAGTCCCAGAATTCAAAACTAAAACTTTCAATACATATACACTGATTGGTGGGGATAAACATATGTGTAACATCCCTTGATTAATCTGTTGCCGTTTTAGATTCAGCTACTAGGAACAAAATGTTCCAAGTAGCACGGGCTATGGTGAGCCCGTAGTGGTCTTATCTGGCACAGGAGCGGGGCTGTAACTTTTGGTTAGTTATAGAATCTCGCCAACCATATAACAATTGAACTAAATGTTAGAATATAAAGTCTAGGTATCGGAGCTGCTCGCGCCATTTAACTTTCATACAGTGCAATAGGCGAAGGTCTTTCGTTGTGGTTGTAAAGGTTGTAAAACGGTTGACAAATCTTGTGCTGGGGGAAAAATAGTAAGGTTAGGATTTGTTTTTTTGAGAAGAGTTCTGCTCCTGAATTGTCTAATGTAATAACAAAATACTGCCCCAACAATAGCTGTAACACGTTAATTACAGTATTAGTTACAAGGCCCTGCGATAACTATTTTGCAATGTTTAGTTAGCAACAGTAAAAGTAGTGTCGATTAGTCGTATACCCATTCTCACTAACAAAAATTATTCATTAGAATAAAATACCAACCATCTCCATTAATATTTTGTGAAATAGCTGAATTACATTATTTAATATGTGAAAGTAATGTAAAGTAAATACACTAGGCTAAGTCAGACGTCATACGCGCTATACGCATTAACTGCTTAAGTAAATACAGTATTACGACGTAACCTTGAAGTGTTGACTGACTATAGCTGGGGGTAAGACAGAGCACATGTTGACCAACCTCCACTGTGCATGCGAAGGTCATCATGAATTTGGTTAACATGTGACATACTTGTCCTTCTTCTCGACCTCCTCTTCCTTCTCCAAACACACACACATACTTTTCACTGTCTGCATGTCTGTCTCTGTTAGAGATGATAATTTGAGTTTTTCTGCAACAGGTGGTGCTGATTGTCAATGTGGCCACCTACTGAGGGCTGACGTCTCAGTATCACCAACTGAATGAGCTTCAAGAGTCTTATAAAAACTTGGAGGTACTGGCGTTCCCGTGCAATCAGTTCGGAAAGGTGAGTGAGTTTTCGCGCAGTTTTACTGACCTGTGGAAGAGGGGTAGCAAAAAATATCTTGAACTGGTTGAAACAGTGACGGCCTCTAATCTTATAGATTGGCGTTCGATCCCATAGTCGGTGGTTAGACATAGTTTCTTCCCTCAGTCTTCCTATCCCAGACCCTTGTCCTCGTATCCCTTCCAAGTGCTATATAGTCGTATTGGCGATGTATTAGACAGTTCCTAATGTGTTTAGGGTTTTATAGAGTTTTGCTGCAAAATAGTTATGCCGTTCGAAATAGGCCGGGGAGTAAGTGTAGATTCTACAATAGGTAACTAGTCGACTGTGAGGCATATAAATGCTAAATTTCTCTTTATATATGTTGGCATCATATTAGACTATTATACCATTCGAATTTCTCTGGCAAGGCCAAAATGAAAGCTGCTCAGAATTGTAACTACTTGTATTCTGCCTTTAGTCTTTTCTATTGTTAAGCCAACTTCCAATTAGTTAAAATCGTCAAAGTTGCTTGCGTTCATACACTTTTTAAAGATGACATAATTTGCGTTATACAAAACTTGCGGTACCTGAATGTTATGTAAATACTGTATAAATGTATTGTACCTTTAGTAATTTACATTGGCAAATTTGAATGAAAAATAAGTTATGAATAATTAATCAAGGAATAGAATGGCTCATGTGAGTGACAAATTGAAATAAGTTTACCGAGGTATAAATACACACAAAAGGATGAAATAGCTCAAGCTATTCTCACCACGTTCAGTACAACGTGTTCATACCTCTTCTTCTGCGAGAGATGGGAAGGAACTGTAGG